ATTAATAATATAATAATAAATTGGGGAGGATTCTTCCTTTTAATGGAACTATATATGGTTTTCTGCTTTTTCTCCTGGATAGTCTTGCTGTGATTTGGGTCTTATTATCTCAGTTGTTTGGCCTTCCAGAGCCCCAGATGAACTGTGGCTTCAGTGTGGATTATGAGCATTATCATGTTATTTCTGAATATGTTTGTGTCAAAAATAGGGATGAATTCAAATTGCAAATTGAAATTCAGTGGAATTAAGGCAATGTGAACCAGAGATCTAGCTGTGGAGAGCTTTATTTGTGAACACATTGTGAATCAATGTAGACCATTTTTCCATCTGCAACTTGTTTGCATCTGAAAACAAATTATCCTGAGAAAGAGAGTTTTAAGATGTTGTCAAACCACCAGTATTTCTCAGAATTGTTACAGAAGTTTTGGATGCAACAGCTAGCTGCAATGAATTTTCCTTTGAGCATAGACAGAAAATCAAACTTATATCAACTAAGCTGTTTTAATGTGTATTCCAGAGTTTGGAGGTCATGTAGCTCAAGGAATCTCTGATACTCGGGTCTTGACTCCAAGGACTCTTTGTACCTATCATTCAGTGGTTGACAGTAGCACATCTTCCTCTTTCGGCTCTGTTTATACATATGCTCAAACAGATAAGTGTTGTCGTGAATGAGATGGGGAGATGAATCGGGGATGGAGTGGGGGGGGCCACAGTATATCTGTTTCACATATAAGATCAGGAGTTGTCTATGAGCAGGGGCAGCAGAGGTGAGTCTCTGCAGAAGGTTACAGCAGGCTTAGGCTTGTGATACAGAGATGGGGCTTAAGTCATGGCCGTGCTGAGGTAAAAACAGGTACTCTAGCTTTAAGTGATGTCTCCTCTAAGATTATCCAGAAGTGCCACGTAAGCGCACAGATGGCTCACGCTTTGCAGTAATTGGGCTACGAATTGTGTTGTTCTGTTCATCTGGGGGCGAGTACATGGTGTGAGCAATTAGATACTATCAGTCAGTTCACCTGTGGCTGCCTAGTGCTGTCAAGCTTGCGTCATTCTTTTCACTGTCCATATTTTCTCCTACGTGGTTAATCAGTGTAGATACTCCCTGATGAAGCTGGCGTATGTCTGGGGTTGATGGAACCTATTTGTTTCCCTTTAAATCCTCTATAGAGCAGAAAGTTCAGTTTGTGATTCTAAATACAAAATTCGGAAGCTGTAGTGTTCCCTGGAGGAACCTTAGCAGATGTTTGAATCCTAGGGTACATCCTAATGCTAGATTTTAAAAGGCATTGCAACATTTGTATTAGTGTTTTGGTAAAAGTGGCTGTAACAGTCTTTAATTAGTATTTTAGAGGAAGAAATGGTGATAAGGCAGACACAGGTGCATAGAAAATAATAACAAAGAGCGCTAGAATAGAATGGGTAGCATAGATTCAAAATGAGCTATAAAACAAAATAGAGATAAAGTCCTGGTTAGAAGCCGTAATAATTAATATGAGGCTTTTGTCACAATTACGTAAAATGATGAAAAACGGGATATTAATAAAATAGTTATTGTTTGTTAATTCACATTTTTTCTATTATAATGTAAATTCAATATTTAGCGTTCTCAGTGGTAGTTAAATATTTGCATCGTTGTGAGCAGCTTTCCTGATAAAGGAGAATATGAAGTCAAGTTCGATAATGAAGTCTACATGGAAGCACTAGCTGGGGAGTGTAATTTCTGGTACAGTCCGGTAATGGGAAGGAACTATCTATCTGTATGTTAGACCCAAGTGCCTAACGTGCATTCATAATTCATCTTTTCCTCACAAGGAGAGTTTTTTCCTCCCTTTCCATAGTCAGTCTCCTCTGCCACTTCCCCAATGTAAAGCGTGTAACTATAGTAATGACAGCAGGCTTGCACTGATGTGAAATACTGCACAGGTAGGCCTTTACGTCCAGTTTGTCAGCATATGTTGTATTGCTTGGAAAGAAAAAGGCCAATGGTTATTTGCAACAGTACATATATGTAGTTGAAAGTGATCTTTTACAGCTTAATATCTCTTGCAAAGGGAGATGCTCTGCAACATGATGGAATTTCTTATGATAAGATTCCAAGTCATTAGAGGTCAAGTGCCAGATATTCAGACTGTCAGTTGTTAATGATGTTAAGGATTTTTAGCTATTTTATTGGCTTGGAGCTTCTAGATTTGCAGTGGCCAAAGAGCTAGCACTGTATTTGGTATGAGATATGTAGAGGAAGGGGGTTGGGATGAGCTTTGTTCCCCTCTAGGTTCAGAAACTTTCTCTGGTATAATCTGAACGTGTAAATGTGATTTTTTTTTTTTGAATAAATCTACATTTAAGTGTAAAGTAAAAAAAAAAAAAATCACAAGTTGAGTAGGTAGTAACAGTTGGTGTTTTTTTTCCCCATCATTCTTTTGTTTTAAGGTCACCAGATACCATATTTTTAAGATCAACCACAAATTTTCATGAAAATCTAAACTAAGGAGAATGCTTTAGCAATTATGGTAAAATATCTAGAACCTTAGGTACCAGATGACTAAACCAGATTAAATTCCATTGTCAAAGTTATCTGTTCATACACTTATATTTTTACGCTGTAAGAAAACTAAACAAAAAATCTAGCAACCTAATTGTAAGGTCCTACTGTTTTCCAGGAGCACAGCGCTATGCAGAAGTTGCACTGCACACAAATTGACAAAATAGTGGCACAGTATGATAAAGAAAAGGTATCTTACGAGAAAATATTAGAGAAGGCAATCAAGAAGAAGGGGTAAGATATGTTTTAAAAATTTTTTTTTTAGACTCAAAATAGATTTTATGCTTTTGCAGTCTGGAATAAGCATTCATAGAAAGGTCATTCAGATGAAACGTAACTGCAGCTTGAACCGGTATTCTATATTAGACTGAGTTTGAGCTGCTTGCAGGCTCTAGCCGTGGGCCGTTAATGTTGTACTCACTTTGCCTTTCTCCAGTCTTACACTATCTGAATGTATGAAACATAAAAGCAGAGGAGTTGCCTGAAATGCTTATTTCTGTAGTCTGATCTGGTCTCACTGCATTCCCTAGGGAATGTTACTGTTGTGCTTAGTGAGAGCAGACTCAGATCCTTGATAGCTCTAAAGGCAGTGATTTGATCTTGGGAAGAATACAGCTTCTAAATCATGCATGTTTTAGAATAATGGAGTTTTGCCATGTTGTCAACATGAAGTTCTTTATAACACAAAAACTTCTTCAGATCCTCAGCTGAGATAAATCACTATTACTCCTTTGCCTTCACTGAGGCTGCTTTGGTTTGCACAAGCTAAAGACCTGGGCCATTACCTGTGTGTATCTCTTAATCGTCCCAGAAATATTCCTGGAACATACCGATGACTTCAGTAACGTGTCCCATTTACAGTCCCATTTAGCGTTATGTAGCAGGATTTACTGTTGCCTAGTTGCATCTGGCAGCAGTTTCTCCCCTTCACCCTTTGGCGTTTCCTTGAGACAGCAGTTTATACTATGTAGCCTGTGACCTAATGCAGGAATTGCTTTATTTAGTTTTAGTAGTTAGCCTTAATTGCATATTGTTAGCGTCTGGCCACAACAACTGGCAACAACAACTGGCAACACAATCACTCACTGATACTGAACATAGATTCCTTTTTGATATTGGATTATTCCATAAATACTTCATTCGCTTTATGAATGATTTGGAATGGCTGTTTTTTAATAATTGGTTGTGCGTGTTAGAAACTCATGATAGAACAGAAATAGAACTGTCTGAAGTAAGCCAGGTAAGGCTTACCCCATTAAATTATGAAAGGTCACACAAACTCTTTAAAAACCTGTGGGTTTTTTTTTCCTCAAGAAAGGATAGCCATGAGCACTCAGATACTTCTAATCTGAGAACTTCCCTCCAGAAAATTACTAGCTCTCCAAACAGAGAGGGATCAACTACAGGACAAATTAATTTCATTTGGCTTGGGTTCAATTTCCATTGAATATAACACAGCAGAGAGTTATTGATGTGGCAGTAGAGAGCTGGATTTATGATTAAAGCCAGAGTATTTGCTATAGTGGCAGCAAAATGAGCCCTGGACACTGTACCATAATTATCTTCCGGGGAGAAAAGCTTCCCAGTGCTCTGCTCTTTAAGAATCTCATAGCAGAAGACTCATGAATCGATATTCCTGTTGGCCTGAGAAGAGACCAGCACCTCTGCTTGTCTTGGCAAAGCAGCAGATGAAGGTATGTCAGAGAATTAAGATGGTAATGGCTATCCCTGTTCAGTAAAAAGTGGAAAGCCTTGTGTCACAGTGCGTACCAGAATAACCCCAGAATGCAACAAGTATAAAGATAGTTGATCTGATTCCCAGTTTCACATCATTTCATTTGCTGCTTGTAGTGTCTTCCCTTAATTTTTTTTAACCCTTTCTCATGGACTCCAAAGGCTTTATGATAATTTCAGATTATCGGAAAAAGTTAAGAAAGGAAACAAGTTTGAAATTATTGCTCTAGCAGCAGATAAAATATACAACGATCAACTTGTTCCTCAGCCTGACGCCGTATTTTCCATTGACTCCAGAGCCATCAGTCATCTGATGGCTTTTCAGTGATACAAGTGAAAATGACTATTGGTGTCTAATTAACCGATCAGTACAGCCTTTCTGTAGAAGCACTTTTTAATTACTTCTCAAAATATTTTAAGCATTTCCTTCAGAGTCCGCTATGTATGCTGCCCTGAAACTCCGTTCAGCAAGGTACTTAAGCACTTCACCCCGACTGTGCAGTGTGTTTAAGGACATACTTATATGTGAGCACACTGGTTGAGACTTAAGCACTTTGTTGAGCAGAAATGAATTGCTAAATAAGGGGCCTAGGGTTCAGTTAAAACCGAACATACTCCGTTTCCTTGGCTGTCACTTTGGAACCTTTACGAGCAATAAAAGCTGTAAAAGCAAATGTAAAATATGTCTTTAAGGCATTTGTATTGAAATTGTCAAATACTTCCTCAAAAAGGCCTTTTGGATAAGTGTCTTTTCTGATAATGTTGTGCAGCTTTTTGTGGTGCATTTCTGCCACATGGTGTGACAAATGTCGCTCGTGTAACGTTCGGAAAAGTAAAATTTTTAATCACATACTAATTCACTGACAGATGGACAGCATTTTGCTCCCTGTGCTATTTCTGTTGTACACTTCAAGTGTTGCTGCACATGCTCGTAAATCTCATAGAGGCTTATGGGAATATGCACACCCGTGTTCCCACTCTGAAATGGAGTTGAGGGGCTCACAAAGATACTTCTGATTTATCAGGGCTGTCCAGGAATTAAAGTGTAAATGTGTGTGTGTGTGTTTGTGTGGACATGTGACATTGTTTGGGCTATTCTTAGGTGTTTGTTCCCAAATGCAACTCGACAGTTTAAACCTGAGCTAACTTTGGCACTGCAGTTGTGGACAATTCTGGTTATGCCTAGCCTATCTCAAAGTTTCCTTCTGACACAAGGAAAGCTGCATTTCCAGAGAAGGGATCAGCTGGTCGTTCTGATCACTGGGATTTGGGAAAGATTGGTAGGGTTTTTAATTAGACCAGTCTAGGATAAAATGTGTCTAAGTCACCTCAGGAGCGGTCGCATTCACAGTGTGTTTCAAGTCATCATATATAAATCATAGCCAGACTCTGATCTCAGGTACGTGCATGCAAATCCGCAAATACCTTCTTTGCAACTATTTCTTTTTCAGGCAGATGTAACTGTGGTCAGAACCTGTCTCTATGGCTTTATGTTACTTTCAAAGTGTCAAATAAGTATTAAAAATCTCTACAGAAATTTTCTTGCTATGACCAGAAAAAAAAAAAAGACTAATCCTCGTAGTGGCCCGTGGGAAGGCAAGGCACATCACACTAGTATTTTCAGCAAGGGCTTTCCTGTTAACATTTGATGATAAAGCTTTCTGCTAATTTCCATAAGTTTAGCAGTGCTTTGATATTAAAATAGGATTTAAACTAAGTGTTATAGTTTCATAAATCTCTTTTTCTAGAGCTAGCATGGATTAATGTTACTGCAGTCAAGCAATAACCATCTTTATTAGAGCCAGCTTGAGGTGATGAAATGAGTGCAGCTCCTCTCAGTACAGTTACACCAGTTTACATCAGTGGATAGCCTGACATCTGAACTGATCTGATACCTGCACTATTACAGCATTGTTCAAATACGCTCCACTAAATATATTGCATTATTCCAAACTAAAAGACTAAGACTTCTTCCCCTGTGTGAACCTGTATTCTATTCTAAAAATCCTTCACTACAAAAAAGGGAACAAGAAGATTGGTAAAAGATGGGGCTTGTTAGCCTGCAAGGATTTATTGACTACAGTGAGACAGTATTTGGAATTCCTCTTGTTGCTGCAAAGGAATTGTTTTGCTGTGCATCCGTCTTACCCAGTGCACAGCCCAAGTAATTGGGTTTAGTGAAGGAAATTCTGTTGGGGAAGGGTGGAAGTCATCCATCTCCTGGCCCACAGACATGTCAGGGGAGCTGCAGCATAAGCTCTCCACGACCATTTTACCAGCTTGTTACTTGGGATTATGGCCTTCATCCTGCACTGAACAATCTCTGCACCTTGCGTTCAACCCCATTAACACTGGGCGCAAAGGCCATGCTGCGTTCAGCCTCTTGCAGGAGTGAGGACTGTTTTCAGGATTTGCTACTGTTCAAGGCAGATGAGGTACCAAATGGCTTAGGAGTTGTCCACATGGGCCAGTCTGCAAGGGTGATAACGTACCCTTCTTTACAGCCCCTTCACTTTTGCTTTCTCACAAAGGGGCACTTAACGCTTCTCATAAACATTTGTATTCAGTATGTCTAAACTGCCCGGGGAAGTAGCAATCAACAACTTCTTTCGCTATGCCTCAAATTTAAAAAGTAGCAAATGTGACTTTTAAAACAGAGAGAAAATCATAGCATAGCGTGAATATGCCTGTAAGTTTTCAGGCTGAAGCTGGTTTCTCTTGGCAAGGTATTTTAAGCCTAAAAAAAGGACCCAGCACCATAAATGGAGATGCTGACATATCCTCAGCAACAGAATAATTGCAGGGCCAATCTAGAATTAATTGTGTGGTGTTTGAATTGAGTGATCATTAATCCAACAATATTTTGTAAGTTGTGAATAAATTGCCAGAAGAAATAATTTCATTCCAATACGCTGCAGCACTTCAACTTTGATTAACATTTTAATTAGTAAGAGCTGAATGGATGGGAAGATGTTTAACTTGTGGCACATATTTGCAATTTTGCTTTTTTTAGAGGAAGTAATTGTCTTGAATTGAAGAAAGAAACTGAAATTAAAATTCAGACGCTAACATCGGATCACAAATCTAAGGTAAGCAAACAAGCCAATTTTAACACATGCAACATCTGAAAGAGAGATTTTGAGACCCAAGTGGTAGTTAATTTTCTTGGAAGTGCATGAATGATTTTCAGTGATGATAACATGTGGAAAAGAATGGGAGTAATCCAGTATCTAAAAGTGTTTCTTGAAAAAGTAGTTTAAAAGGAACATCAGTTTCCTCCCCTGTTAACAATTATTGGAGGAGGTGTCATATTCATGTCTCAGGAAGCAAAACTGGTCATTTATATCAGTTCAGCTAAGACAAAGAGGCAAAAATACGCTATATGAAATTGAGATGCTAATTACGTTCCCAATATATATATGAAAAGAAATATCTTTTCAATTTTCTATCATTGTCACCATTCACAATGCTTGCCAGATTCTCTCTTAAGGGAGGAGGAATCCAAGTTGCTCTTGGACAAGTGCCTTCTTACTTCTAGTATATTTTTCTTCAGGGATTAGGTGCACTGTTTTCTCCAAAGAGTTGGAGAAAAGCAGTACCCTGAGACCCAACCTCAGTTTGTTTTAAACAAGTTGTTCTCAAGCTGTGATTTACGGATCCCACCAAGCTGCACAGAGCCGCTCCCTCTCTTACCCACCCACAAAGCGCGCCTGTCTTCCCGCCAGTTCCTGTTGGAACCTCCTCAGCCTGCAAGACTCTGCGCCCGTCGCTTTTCCACTGAAACCCCTCTCAGATCAGTGCTCACCTGCTTCATATTTTCTTTAGATTTACCTACCACCCTTTGACATGCCTTACGTTTCTGAAAGATATCCAAACTAGAGAGTGGCAGATACAGTCGAAGGCACAGCCAGGTATAAAATAACTTGGAGGGAGAAGAGTACAGGAGACTGAAGGCATTATGCAAGTGGGAGATTTTAATGTAAAAGCTCAAACTGGTGAACGGAATCAGGTAAGTATAGAAAATAAAGTGAGAGATGACAAAGCAGCCCTATCCATGAGACTAGAACAAGCTCATCTTCACCTAATCTTCTTATTTTACTCTTCGGTATTATTATTTCATGTGAAGGAGATCCTGGTTTTCTAAACTAGGTTTCTGTCTTGTTGCTGCCTGCTCAGCCAAAGAGTTAGGAAAACCCCCAGGAATAAAACCTAGGGTGTTCTCATATCCCTGTCTCCTGCTATGAAAAGTCTAGAACTGTTTTCTTAAATAGAAGCAAATCTGCTTAAAAAAATAATTAATTCATTTCCTGGTAAAATAAACTCTTTAGGGAGCACTGATAGCTATCCTCCAGACATAAGCTCCAAAACTCATTTCAAATTATATTGTGTAGGAAATTATTCACTGTGATCTCAACTTCTCACCTGCGTCATTGACAGTCCAGAGTTAAGATGTGTGATTTGTACACAAAGGACATGCAAGTGTTCATTAATCTTCCACATCCAATAAATGTGACTCATGTTTTCCCTCTCCACAAATGTATGCGGTTTCTGAGCTGTGTTCTTCTTAAAATTCTGCTTTCAAACTGTTTGCCTTAAAACCTTGCCTTAATCTGTATCTGGAAAAAAGATTGATTTTTGTCCACTCCCATGTCAGGCTTTAGGGTGACGTTTCCAAAGGAGACTAAAGGATAAGATCCTTTGAAATTCGAAGCCTCTGTGCACTGGTTACTTCTTTACTAGTCATCTACCTCTGTGTTTTTCTCTAGGTTAGTGATTTTCAATCTCTTGCTCTCTGTGGTTCAGTCAAAATTTTCCACATTACATACCAATTTTAGTATTCTCATAGACTTCTTTTGTTCAGTTGCTGTGTGTGGGCCTCTTGACTTAGTCCCAGAGATCATTCAGAGGTCTGCAAGCAGCAGGTTGAAAACCAGTGCTCCAGACCATAGGGGAATTAACTTTTATTCTAGATGAGGGGAGGTGCAATTAAATCAGATGAAATTCTGGGATGCTGAATGCACCACACTGAGTTAGTGGAGTTGTTCAGCATTTCTCAGCATTTGGCCCACTGATTTTAGTATGAGATGGTACCATAATTCACCTTTAATTACAGCTCATGTCCTTCAGTGCACCTTTGTGTCACAATGTGCATGTATACTTCCAGCTCTGAAGAGACCTTTTCATCTACCAAAGTCTTCCTCTCATGAAGAGACTTCCACCTCAAGTTTGGCATAAAATATTTTACATAGGTTTGAATGTCCCAGTGTGTACTTTACGCACAGTTATCTGAGAAGACACAAATGACTCTCCTAAATTAGAGAAGTAGGTCCCAGCATCAAGCAAGAAGAGGATGAAAAGAAAAGAAGAAAGATTGCTTCAAAGATTATCCCTAAATGAACACAGTGACTAGACAAATATATAGCATATATGCTATGCAAATGCAAGTTTTTAATTAGTCTCCTAGGCCTGCTGGAACAGATGAAAGGACAGGCCTGCAAACACAGTCTGTATAACAGGAAAGAGAGAGTTAGCTAATGGTAATTTTTCATATTCTTCTGGGTGAGAAACACTACCTTAGCAGTGAAAAGTAGGACAGGAGCACAGCCCAGTGCAGTTGAAGTAGTCATCTTAAATATGATGCTAATGAATTGTAGAAAAGAAAGGATGTACATTCAATTTACTACTTCTGAACTTTGAAGTGTATCACAAATCTGCAGCAAAATTGGGTTTCAGATGACTTAATGGTCTTGAGTTCTAAGGTCATCTGAATGTGAGTCAGAGCGGAGGTTTCACACCTTGTAAGTGTTGTTTGGCAAATCCTTTATATCCTTCTCATCAGGTTATATCTTACTGTACCCAGAATGCAACTTGTTGCTTGTAGGGTATTTAAAAACAAAGGAATCGTCTTTTTCTCTCACGGCAGCACGCAACGGAGGAGAATCTGTGGCCCGCTCTGTCACAGTTCCCCTGACAAGTTTTCTGACTTCTGAGGAGGGGCAGAGGCCGGTCAGAGCACTCTCTGCAGGAAGACGATTTGAATCACAAGTATGTGTAAGGAACCATGCGTTGGCTCCTGCGTAAGGATGTGCGGCACATAAATGTGATTCACTTCTGGGTCTGCCTGCTTGCTGTGTCTCACAGTAGCAGTCATCTTTTTTAAAACTTGAATGCTTTCTAACGTTGTGACCACAGAAGCTTTCTCAGGATATGCTCCCCTTGCTTCTATGATCCCAATTATACCCAGTTACTCAGGACTTTGGATCTGCCTGTATCTTTTTTCTCCATGTGATGAGGGGATCGCATCTGGAGACTCTGCATTTAAATAAATAAATAAATAAATAAATAAAATAGGTTTTCGCAAAGACTTCAGCAATGGCTTGCTTTTAGTTCTGTTGAAGTCCATCCACTCTAGCCTCCTTGGGGGCTGCATAAGCCAGGTGCGGTCAGCGCTGAGAGGAGGCGCACACAGCCTAACTGACTTGAGGCACTGTAGATATTAGAGAGGCATCTCCAGAGAGCATTCTGCTCTTTGGTGAGATAAATCCTGCTTTGAAACTGCCTGCTTTTTCTCATCAGCAATGTAGGCAGCTTAGGCTAAACTTAGCCCTTAAGTGCCAGAGGTAGGTGCCAGAGGTGGGCTGGCACCTCAACCTTTCAAAAACTTCCATCTGAAAAAAACATGAATATCTGCTCCGTGCTGACTTGCAAGCATTTATTTTGACCCCCTTTTAAAACTGAATCCTCATATTTTTTCTGGCCTGAAGGCAGTACTGCCTTAGGAACTTCTTATTAAAGACAGTACTCCCGCTAGCCGTTTCACATGCTTCAGCGTACACATCGCTTCCTAGATGTAGGCCCTCATTTAGTAGTACACTTACCCATATGCAGAAAATGAAGCAAGACTCATTTTGCTGGGGGTACATGGACACACTTAAATACCCTGGTGGATTAGGTCTATACTAGTCTTACCAAGCTCCTGCCTCAGAACGCTTCTGTTATTTTCTGACAGCTACGGAAATCCCCAGTGGCTCTACACTGACTGCTGCTGCCTCAGGTCGTAGCTGTTTTGATATGGGACATCTATTCAGTTATAATTAAATGCAAGTCCAGCTTTCAGGTAGCAATAGTCACCATGATCTGTGAGCAAATTATACCCCTTTTTCCCCCATTAGGAATGCAGCTTTATTATGCAACGTGCCCTTGCTGGAGCAGGACCTTCAGAGGAGCTTCTCCAGGGCAGAATGGGGACTGTTGCTTTTCAAGCCCTTTTTTTTTTTTTTCACCATCATCAGCGTGCATAGGAGGGTGCACTCTGCGTTGTGCAGAGCTGCTGTGGGCCCACGCTTGAAATACTGGCATCGGTCACTCCCTTTCTGAGCAGTATGGTGGCAATTTTGGTTTGAAGAATTAGGTTTAGCTTTCACAGAAGACGGTCCAAATGCTATTAGTTACCATAGTAGCACTGGAAATGACTGCCTGAAAATAGGTTTATTTTCTTGTGAGATGCATTTTGTATACCACTTATGGAAAAGTAGGGTAGCTTGTCAAAATACCCAACGATAATTATTAAAGGATAATAAAATATATCTTTCTATTAGCTTCTTTTCTAAATCATTGAGTGCAATATATTATTATAATAATAACTCTAGTAATTTAGATTTCTTTGCATTGTCTCTTGGGAACTTTCCAAAACTTTAATCTCATTATTCTTGTGAGTCCTGGGAGATAAG